TGCTGTGGTGCACGTGCAGTCTCAGTTGGCGGGACTCAGACTGAGATTCAGACTGAGACGTCAGGCACATTTGGATGTCATTGTCAGTTGTCAGGTAATAGAAAGAAGTTGGGTTTTGTTAGCATTTAGTCCATTTTTTTTTTTTTTTTTTGTTGCTATCTGAAGGTCAGTAGTGCTGCCAAGTGATGTCGTCTTTGCCGCGGGAGAGCTGCCTTCGCTGGGTCGTGTGGGGAAGGCGGAGAAAATGCCCTAAACCACCCCCCTCCCCTTCCTCCTTCCCCCTCCACCCTGGCAGAGGATGGGGAGCGGGAAAGGGCATGCGACTCCCTCCATTTCCCCACCCCTCCCCTCCTGCCTGCCCACCTTCAGCTGTCACCAGCAGCCACTGCTGGGCTGTTTGTGCCACGTTGTGAACAAATGTCTGAGACTCCTCACAGAATGTGATACCCCAGTATCAAGATTTCATCTCTCTGGGCTGTTTATTTTAAGCTTAATTGGATAACATTTAACATCTGAGGTTTTCTTTTTTCCCCTCCTCCTTTTCTTCCCCCTCCCTTCCCAATCATTCGTATTAAGGGCTCTCCTCTGCGTCAATGTGCACGCAGGATGTATGTGCTCCATGCTGTTTTCTCTCTTGCTTTGAGAAAATGCTCCTTGGTAACTTGCCACGCATCCCTCGCCTCTCCCCCATCAGCTTTTCTTTTCCTTTATTCCTTTTGGATGCCTGACTTTTATCACCGCGAGGAGGGGAAAGTGATGTGGAAATGAGGGCACACCGAGCTAGCCAAAGAGGACACGGACATATTGTTGCCAGACCCCATCACTTCAGACCCAGCAATCTCTTTGAAATCAGTGGGTGTTTCTGAGCGTGGCTCAGTTGCAACATTGGGTCTATGGTGAACTGCGGGCTGGAGAGGTGAAAATGGGGAGAGCTTAAAAGAAAATACAGCTGTGGCAAAATCCGCAAGCATTTATGGAGTCTCACTGTGGTGGGCCAAACCCTGCAGCTCTCATTCATGCTAACGTGCGTGGAGTTTTAATAGGGAGTCCCCGGAATGATGCTGGATAAGTAATGCTTGAGGACCAGAGGCTTTAGAGAGACAGCAATGACTGTCAGGAGTAGCACCTTTGGGAAATGGGTCCCGTGTCCCCCTGAAGCTGGCAAAACTTTGCTGTGCTCAGCTTTTTCCTTCACAAGCAGTGGTACCACCTGGCTGCAGTATGCTGTATCTCACGAGAACATCCCTGTACATCTCTTGTTGTTGTAATACAGCAAGAGAAAAAGTTTTGCAAGAAATTTAAATTTGCATCTTGGAAAGACAAAATATTCTCGGGAGGAGGCTGAGAGCACTCTGCAGGGTCCTGTTTCGACCCTGGGTGAAGCTCAGGGCGTGCAGGAAAGGCTCCTGTGCCACCTGGGAGAGGCTCAGCCTGCACCCAGCCGCTTGTGCCGGGGTGCAGGCACTGGGCTTGCAGCGATGCACTGCGTGGTGCGGCACAGGCACTGCATCCGGGGGATTTGGTCAGGTTTCCTATCCAAGCTGCCGTACACAGTGTGGCGAGGATGCGATTTTAATCTGGCTCTGCTTCATCAACCTCAGCAGGTTGACGAACTGGCCTGAGACAGGTGTAGAGATGGGCTCTTCTGAACGGCGAGCGCCAGATCAGAAAGTCAGATAGCTCTCCTGCCTCCCCCCTTCCCTCCTCCCCGTAACCAGTAAACCAAACTGGAACTGATCTCATGTTTTGCTGTTCTCTCTCTTCACGGGTGCAGTATACACGCAGGTGCCTTTGGTAGGCAGGTAGTTGTAACAGTGAACTGGATGCCCTGGTTCCCTGTTGCTTCTGATGCCAGCAGCTAGTGGGGAGGGAAGCAAGTACAACTAAAAATAGAAAAGGAAGGAAGGAATAACTTATTAAAGAACGTGGGAAGGCGAGGCTTTTGTACTTTGCGTACTTTGAGTTCTCACTTTGGAGTCGTGCGCTGTGAGTTTTCGGAATTGCCTGTTTGCTGAGAGAGCGATGCCAGCTCTGTGGAGAGAGAGACCTGTTATCATGGCTTCCTGTAATTACTGTTGCAGTCTGCGGCACTTAGAGAATAGGTTATATCAAAGTGCATGCTACATGTTTATGACAGTAGTTGGTCAAGTTCTGCTTGAAAGAAACATTTTCTTCCCTTGAAGAAGGAGATTATGGCTACTTAACGCTTTCTTAGCTCCCATAGTATTCACTGTACATGAGCCTGGGCACGGTTTAAACCGGCAAGGGTTAAGGGATCTTTCTAGCCCCTGAAATGTTTTGTGGAAATGAAAGAAAAGTGAGTTCTTTGTGTTGACTAATAATCTAGTGACGATCCCTGCATTGTGCCCTCTTTTTTAATATAGGCATTTACAACAGTCACTTGCTACAGCTTTAGAGATCTGCTTGTCTCTCTGACTTGATTAGCCTTTTATTCTGTCAGCCCTGTTCTTGCTTCTGAGGAATTGTTTCCTTCTTTGAACAAAAGCTATCAACAGTTCCTGCCTCTCCTCCTCCTTCATCTTTTCTTACCTTTCCTGTTTTTCAGCATTCATTTAATTCAGGACCTGGAGTTTTTCTGTGCAGTTCTCAAACAGGCTGTGACTCTGAAGGCTTGAAGTTGCAGGTACTCCCAAATCTCTGCTGGGCACTCACAAATCGGGCCCTCAAGAGCCCTAGCAGTTTTGTGCTGGAGAATCTAAACTTCTGGCTGCTGGTGGGATTTGGGGTATGCACGTGTGAAAACTGCATTTGGAAATTCCGACCTAGATAAGAGCGATTGCCCAGAATGCTGAGTAGTGTTCAGTCATGCACAGGGGAAGTCATCCTGCCTCATCCAGAGCTGTTGCGATCTTTAGAAAACATGCTGCTGATAGTAGTTTCAATCACAGTAAATGATGCTGGGAAGTCTGCTCGGGTATCCACTGTGTCGCTCGGCCGGTGCTGGTCATGGTCCCCTCTGTCTTTGTTCAATTCTTTGTGTTCAGGGCACCACAGGATGAGGAATTTGCGACTAAAGGTCTTCCTATGTTTTCCCATGTGATTTAAAAAAAAAATCTACCAATGGAACAATCTCTCTCTCAGTCTATTTATTTATTTATTTTTTGTCTCAGAGGCTTCTGTCTGTTGAATTGGGTTCTCCCGTTTAAATGTTTTTAGTGCCTATTTAATTAGAAGTTGGAATAGAGTCATGAAATTTACAGGGCTGTGTAGCTTGGATCTAAAATATAAATGGGCAAAGCATTCATTTTGCTTTACCCCTTGCCAGATTAGGGTGCTTTTTTGAGCCTGCTTTTTATTTCATTTCAATGAATTGCAACTGCTCAGAGTAACTGTAAAACACACACAGTTTTTTTTTGCATAACAGAGACATGCAAATGATTGTTGAGAGACGTAATTATGTAAAGAAAAGTATATGCCTGTATGCATGCACACATACACTGCAATGCTTTTTGCGGGGCTAGTTTTTCACAATACATCTTCATAAGGCTCTTTTTATGATGCTGATTTATTAATATTGTACATTAAGGCTTAAATTGTCAAAGCTGCCTAAGAGATTTGGATGCCCATTTCCCATTAAAGTTAACGAGAAATGAGCTTTGAAAATCTCAGTGCAGAAGTGCATGGCACTTTACAGTGTGCTCTCCAAAGAAAAAAGTCCCTGCCCTGAAGAGCCTACAGTGCAAAAGCCCCAGAAATGGAATTATAATCCATAAAACAAAGGGGATTGTAATGGCACAGATGATAATTTATCCCCTATGCCTGCATTCAGATGTATACCTGTTCCAAAATCTTTGGACCTGGGCCCATGAGTGAGGGTTTTATATACCTCCGTAAAGATTATTAAATCGGTCCAATACACATATATTCAGCTAACAAGTGAAACTGCTTCCTTCCCACACATAGGCTGACGGAAGGACGTGGAAAGCAATTACGATACTTAGTTGCATATATAAAAGCAGCAAGTGGGCATGGACAGCAGTGATTAATGGACAGGGCTGTGAAGTTTAAGGTCTAAAATAGAGGAAGGCATGGGGCCATAGCTCAGAAGAGTGGAACAAGCTCCTGTTAGTTCAAGGAATCAGCTGTATTCAAGGAATCAGCTGTATTAGTCATTAGGACATTCTGAAAATCACACAGTCATCTTGGAGAGTTAATATGAATTTACTTGGGTACTGAAATTCTACTTACTGCATCATTTAACTAGTCTGGTGTTTTCTTGGCAAAGGTTAAAGATAAAAAAGATTAAAAAAGTGCCTGTAAGTAAATAATAGGTTTTAAAAGAATACTTTTCCCTCCTTCAGTTATCTCAATGTATTCATTTTGTGTTGGTTTTATAACTATAAGAAGAGCTAGATTAGACCACCCTGCTGTAAAAAGCTTGATGCAATTAATGCAGTCTGTCTAGAAAGCAGTATTATTTCAAAAACTTTTATGTTAATGATATGGTATGCGCTCGGCACATTTCTTCTAGAACAAGAAGCAAGCTTTTGTTCACTCCAGACTGGGTTTTATTAACACAGGAGGATCAATGGAAAACAAAACAGTAATCAGAGCAGAGAATGCAAACTCATCCAGCAAAAACCTCCTAACTCATCAAGTCCCAGGACGATGGCTGATACTGTACTCTTCATTTTTTGTTGAGTGGAATCTCAAAAAAAAAAAAAGTTCACTAAAACTTGATTTCTGATCAGCACTGGGTGCTTTTTTGAGAGGAGAAAGAGGAATTGGATATATGTGTCTGAGGGGAAACAAAGATCTATAGTTTCCCCAAGACCCTTTGTAAATATATCTTTTCATTTTGCTGCATAAAGAAGAGGTTTGCATAAAGTACTGGCTAACATTCAGGAGAGGTGTCCTTATTAGTCATGGTTACATGTATTTATTTAGTTTAGTGAAATATTTAATGCATGCTATAGTAGAATTGACTTTGTGGACAGTACTTGCAGAGCGCAAGGATGTGCTAGAGATGTATATACTAAAACCGGTAATGCATCAGTCTGAGTGTATGCATCCATCTTTTCATCTATCTATCAATCTATGTGTTCATCCATCTATCCAAGTATTAAAATCATA